ATGTTACGGCCAATCAGCAAATTACATACAATCAGATGTCTGAATATAATAGCCTTCAGAGGAGATTCCTCCACCCATGCTTCTTAGCATGGATGGGGGATTCAAGTGATTTCTATGGTTCATAAAAATCTAAATTCCAGGCTGAAAACCGTCCCTATAGCAAGTCTACTAAAAAGAAAAATGCACTTTTAATTTTAGCATTAAATGTTCCTGACTAAGGAAGAGGCAAGCAATGGATTTTGATAATTGCATTTACACTTAAGCTGGCCATACACCTATAGATTATCTGCAAATTTTCTATGGTCAGATGGAAAACGTACAACAGATTCCTCCATCTACGCTAAACTGTGTGGATGGAGGAATCGCCCACTGGGCCAAGTTTCAGTATTTTGCTTGTCGGCCCCGCTGCCTCTAAAAGTACCTGAACAATGCCTGCATCCAATCAGATTGTTCAGGTATTTTAAGAGCCAGCGTGGCCGACTAGCAAGCTACTGCAGCTTAGCCCAGTGGGAGATTCTTCCATCCACACAGTTTAGCATAAATGGTGGAATCTGTTGCACTTTTTCCATCTGACCATAGAAAATCTGCAGATAATTTATAGATGTATGGCCAGCTTCACAGGACCCATGAGCTCAAACATAGGATATATTGAGGGAAAGGTTCTGCACACTGTGACTGCAGCTTTGGCAGGGAAGCTGAGCCTGAGAAATGTGGTTAGGTTATCTTCCCATATGACAACAATGTGTAATCAAAAACAAATATTATTTTTGGGTAGAACTTGCCTTTTAAGTGCTAGATGAGACCTACGGATCTCACTAGTACCGCTTACTATTAAATAATTATTAAACAAATGAAAATGCCAAAGTGGCTTTATTGATCAAAAAGCAGGTATGAGAGTAACCAGCAGGTGTGTTTCAGAATCTCCAGATTACAGAAAAGTAGCCACCGCTCCAAGCTAGCTCCCATCATGGATTACAATCTCACGTTCAGTTTACAAATTTGTATTAACAATATAATCCATCACGGGAGTGAGCTTGGAGCAGTGACTACTTTACAACACACACAGGGACCATGGAGAACAAGTAGCCCCCCTCCAGAAGGAAGGACAGTGTCAGCACAAATTCAGAGATGATTTGAGGCTCTACAGCCGAGTGATACACAAATATGGTACATTTTAAACTTGGTCTGGGCATCGGAACGTCAAAAACACTGGTCAGGAAGGGGTTAAATGATGCAGAGGTTCACTTTAAAAACAGGTACCACAAGGTGTCTGCTATCATTTTTTCATGTTTTATGTGTTTCCATGATTTAGTTTCACTGCCTGCCTTCCCTGATTTCCAAACTAAGTCCTGCCCATCTTTGATTCTCTTGCCTAATGAGGGCACTTGATGGCCATAAAAGCACTCTTAGAAGACCGAGTGCAGGGGCTGAATGAAAAAAATAGAACAGATTCCTCCATTCACACTAAACAGCATGAATGGACAAATCTCCTGCTGTGTGCTTTGTAATCCAACGGGTGTGCCACTGTCAAAATGCTCAGTCACGGAAGCGGATTGGCTGCCGTCACTGTTCGCCAAAGATTTTCCATCCAGCTCCTTGGATTCTCTGAACAAAGGATGCTGGACGGAAAGGTGCTGACAAGGCTACCCACTGTGCAAATTTTGGCCGGTTCATCAAGAACTGGCTGAAATTTGCAGTGTATGGTCAGCATTAGTAACCGCGAAAAAGATAAAAGAGAGAGACAGGTTTTCTGGTCAATAAAAGTAACAGGAGGCAACGTATAGTGTCTGTTCAAAGGCAGAGTGTGCACTTTAAAAAGTTAAAACATGGTTCACACCATATCCAGTGCATTCCGGCATGGTGCGTACCCAGAACGCACTGGATTGCAAAACCAAGCCTCCCGTGTTCTGGGGCGGGAGGGGGCATGGTGGTGCCATTCATGTCAATGGCACCGCAGACACGCCTCTCAACCGCAACAGAAAGTGTGTTACAGCAATGCCCTGCATTCTGGTGCGGTGCAATTGCATAAAATAGTGCATGCACTATTTTTTGCATTCGCACCACACCAGTACCACACGGAAATGCACTGGATATGGTGTGTACTGGCCTTTAAAAGGAGAACTATGAGGTGAGTGATTTGCACTTATCCTCATATTAGAGCCAACATGTGACCAAGAAGCTGTCACACGTCGACTCTGTTGATCGGCAAGTGAGCGAACACATACCGTCGCTCGCTCACTTCCCGATCATCTCCCTGCAGAGAGCTGTGACTGTCACTCACCGTTCCCTGCAGGGATTCCCCCCCCCCCCTCTGATCCTCCAGCACTGACTGGCAGAACGAAGGGGGGAGGGGGCGGGCACACCTGGCTCTGCCTCTAGATAGGCAGAGCCCGCTGTCAATCAGCCAGCTGGATGGACCTCGACAGTAATGTCAGGATCTGTCCCGTCTGCGGCCCTCTTAGTATAAAGGGAGCAGTAGCCCGCTATACACTGAGCTTTGGGTCACGGGAGGAGGTTAGTACATGTCCTCCCGTGACCCTAAGAGAACTATGGGATAAAAAGATTACCCCATAGTTCGCTTTTAAAGTAAAACTCTGGGCAAAAATTGCAAGGCTTAAGTGCACATTTTTGTCTAAGTGATGCAACAAAAAAGTTATACTCAGCTGATCCTCCAAGCCAGCTTGGTCCCTGGAGCCTCTCTCCCCCTCCGCTGCAGTGGTCTAAGGTCCTGTGAGTCATCACGTTCTATACACAGCGTATTGGACGCGAGGACATTGAGGGGCATAACATTGCTGCAGCGGAGAAGACAAGCTGGAGGGAGCGCTGCGACAGCCAGCCGCCTCCGCACTTTTGGCGAGTATAATTTTTTTTATTTAGCACCTAGACAAAAACAAGCACTTAACCCTTGCAGTGTGGGGGCAGTCCTACTGCCAGAGTTAATAACACTTTTGGCCAAAGCTCTGCTTTAAATACTCTGTAATCATACAGGCAGGCATTTATGGCATGTGAGTGTGTGCAATTAAGTATGCAAGAGGTCAAAAGATAAAGCAAGCTGATGATCTCACCTGCAGCATGATCTGCCCTGAAGTCAAACACTGCAGATCTCAAATTGCATACGTGTCCTCACCCTGCAGGTCCACTGACATTATATTAAACCAGGCCAATCTAGGTAAAGATATGGGGCATTACTATGAGACATGTGCACAGCCAAGAGGGAGGTCACTCTGCAGGCACAGTCAGAGAGGTCTTGGTACTGACCCAACTGCACAGATCTAACTATGCACAATGATTAGCTGTAATTCTTTCTTTTTTTTAATAGTGCATCCTTATCCCCTTCATAGGAGCTGAAACTTCAGATCCAGCTGACAAGGTAAATGCTTCCACTGGATACTGAAATGACAGTGAAAGGGCAGAAGAGCAGCTACTGACATATAAAACAGACTTTAAGCAGTGTGAATATGTGGGGGTGTTTAAACAGCCTTAGGTTCACAGACCGATCAGCAGGTTTCAGTGGGCAGAACCGAGACTTCTAGAGAAATAGGAACAAGACAAAAATGACAGGTAGCTCTAAATGGGAAAGGATTGGCAGGACATATCAAAGAAATCACAAGTAACCAGTGGTACATTAAACTGATGGAAACCTTGTGTACCCATGGAGTGCCTTTGGTATGATATACGTTTTTAAATGCAATAGGAAAAATAGAAACGATGTAAAAGTAATACTACTTTCTTGGAATGTACTGTGTGAACTTCTACCTAAACTGTAACCAATAAAAAATATTCAATAAAACACTGCATGCACATTTCTAATTAAAGTTTAAAAGTAAATACAAGATTGTGCGGTACCAACAGACAGCAGAAGGATGTGTTATTGTTTCAGTTTTATACTAAGGAAATCTTGGTTTATTTGAAAGGTATCTGTTTTGGCTGCAATCCAATGCTGAATATGAATTCACTGGATCATAACCTAAGCAGAGAGAGGCCTACTTCAGGATATCATCACTGGATATTGACAAGTTCCTCCAAGATAGGGAGGAGAGGAAGTTCTTGAGATGTCATAGGATATCCCCTTCAAGTAAGGAAGAAGCACACAGCTTCCGATACAATATTAACTTCATGTCTATCAACTGTTTATGGAAATGAGATCTATAAGACCCCCAACTGTGACTGTAAAAATCTGTTATTAAAGAGAACATAATATAGAATCGTACATTTCCAACATGATCAGATGCCACCTAATGAATCGTTTTTCAAAGCCTCAACATCTGAAATAGCACTTTGCAATACGGTCAATGGCAGGTAAAGATGGCTGCCGGACAAAGACTACTTTGTGTTACTGTACGGAGGGCACAGGAGAAGAAAGTTTAATTAGGCTGGAGGATCCCTTTAAGCTTGCAGGTAAAAAATGGTAAGATGAATGAAGGGCCGCAGATCGTGGGTTGTTGAAGCTTTTACCTGCTTTAAATGCAATGCATTAATAACATATCTATCAACAAATACATTAGTATCTAAAACCTATGGTAGATACATCTTTTAACACCTAACTCTCCAGCTGAGCATCCCATAGGAGAGCTCGGCATAACAATTTGGTCGTTCAAACTATCACATGGAATCAATAACAAACTACTAGGCCCGAACATTATATAGGGACTATTTATTGCACAGTTTGGCTTAAATTCCCAGAACATTATAGGAAATGAAAATGACAGCCAGTTATTTCATAGTATAAAGACTCCTACTATACCGCATTCACATTTCATTTACTGTACTTACAACCACACTGATCAGCTTTATGAGCAGCCACAAACTAAACAGTTCAGCTTCAGAGATTAACATTCTACATGCAGTAAACTTACAGAAGTACCATGAAAGGGCTGAAGATGATCAATTATCTACTGTACAACGCAGCATCTATTTACTTACTGATTTGACCAAAGATATCGCTCACCATCGACAATACATTGCATTCCATCAAAACATATTGAAATTGTTACACTCACCTCAGTCTTGCAGTCTTTCTCCGGGCACTGCACTCTTAGTTTAAAGGAGCTCCTGTGAATCGGGGGTATTAACCTGAAAGAGACCACAAAAGCAAGCCTCAAAACATAGGGAGGGGGATGTCACATCTACTGAAGCACTCATATCCTGCTTCCAAACCCTGACTCACCTCCCCTCCTCTTTCAATAGATCAGTGCTTTGGGTAAACATTTCCAAATATGGAAAACATGACAAAGAAGCTTGTCAAATATCATCCTTCTCTGCTTTTCCCCGTTTTGGTACTTTGGGAAAAAGTAAAGAAAAAAAAGCAATATCTAGAGACGGAATTCCAGAGCGTGTATATCATTAACCCCAGGAGATTGGGCCCTGCCTGCTGACCCTATTCTTAAATTCCTGACATAGCACTGCAATGTCAGCTTTGCAAAGAATGCTTTGTACAGTCATGGAGTAAGTTGTGTTCAGGAATAAGGAAACAAGATCACTAGTGCTAATCAATTATGGTGTATAAACAGATTGATTATTGCAATGTTACAAGTTATACAAGAAACGCTGTGCCAAAGTAAGCAATTGTATGTACTTTATTCAATGTTCAAACACACACATATAACACACACACACACACACACACACACACACACACACAGTCCCTGGTTTACCGCCAAGATAGGGACTGTAGGTTTGTTCTTAAGTTGAATTTGTATGTAAGTTGGAACAGGTACATTTTTAAGTGTAAATCCAGCCCAAAAAACATTTTTTTAGTTCTGGATAACATAGGGAAGGGTTAACCCCCTGTAACGTTTATTCTGCTGTGTGTGTCCCTGTTCAGAAGATTTCACCTCACTTTCTGTCCCGGTGACAATTGGATTTTGAACATTTTGGGTTGTCGTGGAAAAAAGGGATTGGTGATAAAGCTTCAGCGGAAACACCTTTTTCCCCATGATCACTCTCAAGGTGCCCATACACTGCTCGATTCTCGTACGAGAATCGCGGGAAATCCCGCGATCGTACGAGAATCGAGCAGTGTGAACGGAGACGTGCGACCGTTTCGGTCGC